CTTTTTCCCCTCCAGTCAGAAGGTGCAATGCCTAGAATTGGCACACAGACAATGGGGTATCCCTCTCAGACTAGGAAGCATCACATTTCAAAAGGAACCCATAGGAAACAGAGAATACTTCTTTGTTCAAGCATGCATTTCAGAGAAAACAACTAATCCCTAAAAAGTCAGTAACAACGAAGCCCGCTGTCCTGATACAAGAGAGAAATGTTGTTAATGCCCTTGGAATTTAGCCATCCATCCACTTCCCTTCACTTACTTATTATTGTTTTAAGCACAAGACACCCTCCTCCCCCCAAAAAACAATGAGCCTTGGATTCTGGGTCTCTGAAGACTTGGAGGATTAATATGCTGCAAAAGCTCTTTTTAGCTGCAGATAAAAGACACCTAAGCCCAGTACAGGTTTAAAGAATAGCATTTACTTTAAGCTTCGCCTACATAAAAACGTGTACACAAAGAAGTCCCTACATTTCCATCCTAGCCTTTTTCAGCAAATTCAGGAGGCTTTAAATAAAGCTCAGATGGTGACCGTAGCCCTAAATCTTAGTCTTCTCCTAGTTTATATTTTTACTAGTCCTGAATGAAACATACACCTAAATAGCAAGTCTGCTTTCTAAGAACTAATCCACACAGTCTTTTTCAGGCAGACATGAGTTCACTTTGCATTCATGCCAACCCCCAAGAAACTGGGCAACTACTACTAAATGCATGCTGAATCCTAGCTAAGACAACAGTTGTTGACCTTAGTTTTTGGCCAGTTAAGGCCACGGGCACAGTTAAATTGCATCTACTTGTACTTAAGCCTAACAGTTCTTGTCAGAATACCAACTCTGTCAATGTTAGCAATAAACCTTCTCATAAGAAGCAAAACAAAAAAAGTTAGGTCATTATTCGGAGGCTAGAAATATTTCTTATTGATTCATTTAGTGCCTAAAGAGTAAAATCCATAGAAGATTTAGCCAGTAAATAAAGAAAAATACTTTTTAGTGAAAATTTTTTTCTGATATGCACAAACAACTTCACATAAATCCAACACCCAACTACTACACCTGTTCTTTCCTTATTTACTTGATTTCTCTCACTGCTTCTACAACTTTACAGAGCAATGACTTAAAGTAACACCAAAAAGTCTGTTGCATGTAATTACTATTTTTGCACTACTTTTTCCTCAATTTTTTCCCTATAGGATCTGTAATATGAACTATTTTTCTTAATTCTAGAAGGGTCTCTTCACAACCACATATTTTTCAAATTGTAAGGGAAGTTTCCTGTAAACATCCATAGATCCCTCACTTCAACATAATGCCCAAAGACCAGCATCTGCTGAGCGGTTGGTGTTTTAGCACCTGTCAGAGCAACTACTGTCATCCCGTTGTCCTATCCGAATTGTATGGCGGCATTTGTTGTTGTTGGTTTAAGTATCTTTTAGCTATGTATCCAGTATATGATTGAAGTCAAATCGATTGCCCTGTTGCATTACAGTACAACTAAAAAGCAGTTTAACATGAATTACTTACTGAATCACAGTACTAATATTAGCTCTTTTGAAGATTATAGTACGCTACAATATTATACAGAAAGGTGATGGGAAAAATTACCATCTCCAAGATTTCGTATTAAAATTCTTCACAGCTTTTTCAAGATTGTTTAATGCAAGATACATTAAACACACGCAAGCTGGAAGGAATTTTCAACAATAAAAACAAGAAAGCAGAACTACAAGAAGAAATCAAGCTGCT